CTGAAACTGCTACTATAATTGGAATAAGGGTATCAAGTAACCCCACCAGACATAATTTCAGCAATGTTTGAACTATTACGGCCAAGGGTTAACAGTATGCCACTCCAGTGTCAGCAAGTATGCTTGGTGTCAGAGAACAAGCATACTCACTTTCCAAAAAAAAAGTTTGAGTTTAATCACTCAGTCTGCGTTGTGTAATTATTCTCGCTGCAGTAGAATAGTGGAAAAGTTTCCAGCAAACAGTCCAATGAAAATTATGAAAGTTGTGATGAAGAAAAAAGTAAGCGAAGAAACCAACACCCCACTAGGCAATAAAAAACTTTACCTGGAATTTGAGATTCTTGTATTCGACCTGCTCCACATTGAATCCTATAGTTGGAATAGTTGTGACGACTTCTCCAACCTCCAACAATTCAGATATTTCTCTTGAAGAAAACTTAGAGTTATGCAAATTTACCTGCAGTCTATAGAGTATCGTTGTTTTACCAGCACCATCGAGACCCAGGATCAAAATGCGCATCTCGCGTTGTCCAAATAAGCTGCGAAAGTAGCTAAGAACTCCGCCCATAATTCTTAAAATTTGTTGCGCCGATCCGAAGAAAGACAGAGATATGGCAAATAGAGAGCTTTAGAAAAGGATGTTCTCAAAGAAACCTACCACAAGCTTGGAAGATGACTTCGTAGCTAGCAAGGCTGTGCTGAAAAGCTCAAACAGAAAATTATGATTATGACATTCATATTAAGCATGGTTGAGATACTGATACGGAATCATGACCGCATTCATGAGCAGAAAAAAAGTAGAATTGCAAGATTTCAGATCTTTCTGTAACTTCATCGATAACAAATCAGGATAACAATATGATCAACAATTCAAGTAACAAATATATCAAATCACATTTAAAAATCTCTTAACATCGATCGATATATCAATCAAACGCGTCATTTTGTCCGCTCATTCTCCTTCTTACCAAACTTGAGCTTATTTTTGAATTTCTTCGGGTTGATACCATAGGCACGGAGGCGATCATCATCAATGCTCAACTCCTTTGCCTGAAGAAGCACAAAGGTGAAGAGGGGAAAAGAATGAATCACAACATTACCTTTTCAGCATTGGCAAATTGTTTTCTCTTCTTCGGTTTTAACTGTTCCAACGGTTCTTCTGCCACATGGGCGCTTAACTCTGAAGATCCATGATCTTCGGCCTTTCGTTTCCTATTTCGTTTTTTCTTCTTTGCTTGTTGCCCATTGGCTGTAGGAGCGCTATCATCATGCGCTATGATTTCTCTAATGGGAAGTGGTCCAGTGAGTTGCTCAGGTTGTTTTTTTTCCTAAACAAATCTTTAGAAGGTTAGAACAAAACACTGGAAATCGTGTTGGA